TTTAGAATGGTGTTGTATTTGTCCCAGTCTATTTTTCTAGCAATTAACAACAACATTTGACAACATAAACTGTCACTGCGTACTGCATATATCACTGAAATATCGCGGGCGATTTCGAGAATATTATTTCCATTTTTTTCCTTAAAATTTTAGCTCCCCGTATTATTTTTGGACAATAGTTTATTGTTTATCTAGATTTACATTCTTACCTATGTGCTTATCATTAAGGAATACCCTGTATATTTACTATCTTTCCAATATACATCCCTTGGATCATGTTCGGTATCTTATGCTCAGCTGTCCTGAATTTTGTACGTATATCGTCTTTTATCTGTTATTTCCCCTTCTGCCTCCATTATTGTTTGTGTTTCTGCTTCAAAATGATGTTCTAGTAAATCTTCTAGCTTAAGTGTCAGAATTCCTTTCAACTATTTTTATTTTTCTTTATCTGTATCATGCTTATTATCACTTAATGTATTCTACTGTGATCTGTTTTATCTGTATTCTTTTTGCATTATCACAAAATTAACCTTGGCAGTTCTAGAAGTAAATTGCATACATTACGTTAACACAGCCATCCTGTAAAATAATTATATTTTGCCTTGAGGGGAATATAGACAGCATATAGTAATAATGGTTTATTGCGATCTGCCTTCGGCGATGTATATTCTGTTTCTCTCTTTTCAATACAATTGTGTTTCTTTACCGTTCTTCTAAACTCAGGACGGCAGAGTTAACGCATCGTATGCCGCGTCTTAATTATCTCGTGAACAATGCAACACTGCATGAATTTACATTCTTGCAGTGTTGCATCGTAACTTAAAAACTTGGTAAAAATATTTCATAACAAGCCTGATGAATACTCTACAAAGTGCAAATATTTGACATGTTAGATTTTAATTAGGAGTATGGCCCGGGAAGCCTCCCCTCCCTCGACCGTCGCAGATCTATTGTGGCTCTATTGTTGACATATGTTAGTTCCCTCATTCATGGATAACCTAGATGTGTTCGCTGACCGTTGCTCCAAGACAGTCTTCGGGCCAGCCTGTCGCGTCGTCAACGTGACGCGACGTGACACGTGTATGCCGTAACGTAATTCGTTATTAAAAAAATTAACACGTAAAGCAACGCGGTCGCGTGTGTGTCGTAGACGCGGCCAAAGTGGCAAGCAACCAGAGTCTTCGCAACGAGGTGGTCAAGGGGGAGGGTGGAAGCGATCGTCGCCCTCCTCGCAGGAACACTCTCATCCCCCGCCGCCCCTCACCGCGCTCTCCTGGACCTGGCCCTCGGCGGAATCGGAGTCCCGACCTTGACGGTGGGTTTTTATAGTTTTTTTTTGGCTGTAATTTTAGAAATGTGTATTATAAAAGGTAAATTTAAATATAATGCTTATATTACTTTTTAGGTCCAACATTTTTGATATCATACGTTTTCTTTTAGAAAATATTTATCACTTTTATATCCTAAAATAAACATTAAATAAATGTAATAATAAAACTAGGTGGTAGCCCATATGTGAATGGAGGATTGACAAATAGGGAAAAACAGTAAAGTCTTTGTATTTGTCGTGTTTAATACGACCAGTTTTGAAGTTTGTATTGCTTCATCTTCAGGTATACGAAGTAGAATCACAGCTTAACAATACAGCTAAAACACTCTCTTGGCGGCAACGGTTTGCATCGATTTCGTCGCGCATCGCTTAAGCTCCGCCTTCGAAGGGAAAAGACGGTTTTGGTGTTCAGAAGCGTACTTAGGTAAGGTTTTGAGTCGTGCGTATAATTTCGTGGAGCCTATAATTTCGTTGATTTTGTTTGAGTTAAAGGTACTGTTATTATTTTGGTGGCTCTTTAGCTATGAGTAGAATGAGTGAAAAAAAAAGACATCATTCTGTTTGTGCAGTCAAAAGCTGTTTTAATAAGGGTTATACCTGCAAGAAAACATTCTTTAGTTTTCCCAAGGACCCAAACCGATAAGTACCACATTATAAGAAATTTTCATTGTTAAAAATATAATTTATACAGGGTATCCCATTAGTGCGTTATTGTTCATTATTTTGTTGTAGACACGCAAGAAAGTTTTAAATAAAAGTTATATGGATTTGAAAAATACCTACCTATTTTAAAAATATCTTTGGATATATAGGGTGTCACGTTTTTGCCTGGCAAATTAAAATGTATGTTTTTTAAATGGAACACCTTGTATTTTATTTTATGATAAAATTATTAACACCCTAAATTATTGTAAAGACGAATTGATACAAAAAAAATTTATCAGGTATGTGTGTGGTTACCTTTTAATAAAAGCCTTGCGGATCCACTCCTCTGCGATACCTGTCTTAAATATAACAAAGATCACGTTGAATTAGATGATTTTTCTTTTTATTGCTTTTTAAAGGCATATGAACTAATATTCAATATTGAACAGATATTTCAAAATAATTTTGAAGAATTGGCTACAAAAAATAACATTTGTACCACACTTTTAGAATTAATTAACCCAATACCCTTTAGTCATCCATGCTAACGTTTTCCAAAAGAATAACTTATTTTATTGTATGTTTAATCTCAATAACTAAAAAATATACTGACAATTAGTTTGACAGAATTGTCATTTATTTAAAATTTTAAAAATAATAGCAGTCGGTTGATCAAAATATGAACGGTGATTGGCGAATTTATTTTTTTTTTTGCAGTGTTCTCACTACCTAGAATGGATATGAAATATATTCGTTCAATTGAAGGCAATAGCATACTTTTTCGTTTTGTAATCTGTGCATGGATATTAGCCAATCTATGCACATACTACAAAACGAAAAAGTATGTTATTGCGTTCAACTACGAATATATTTCATATCCATTTTAGGTAGTGAGAACACTTTAACAAAATTAAATCTACAAATCACAGTTCATATTTTGGTCACCCAACTCCTATTATTTAAATTTTTTTAAATAAGTGACAATTCTGTTAAACTAATTGTCAATATATATTTTAGTTATTGATATTAAATATACATTAAAATTTTTGTGTAGACTTGATAAATAATAGCATTTTTGTTTTTATTGTGTCCACATTTAAAAAAAAATAAATTTTAATCAAACTACATGATACTAATTTAATTACGAGTATTAGAACTAAAGTCCTGAAAGTTTCGGTGAAGATGAGGACAGAACATCTGCCTTCCACGCGAAAAGCCCGGGATCGAATCTAGGCCGAGGACTAATTAATTTTTCATGTTAATTTTATTTTATAAATTAGTCAACTTCGTAAATTATTTTAAAATTAGTTATTTTGTCTAAATAACCTAAAATAATTTTTTAAATTTGTAGATTTTCGTTAGTGGGTCGTAGAAAAAATATACTGACCATATCGAGTGGATTGTTCATATCACAATCAGACGATTGAGTACTCCGCATACGACGTCGTGCTCAAACTTCGTCTTTGTGTGATATTGCTATCATATCCACCCTTGTTGAACAAACTATAATTTATTTGTTTTCTTGGTTTAAACCAAAACTTAAGTTTTACATCAGAAATAGGAACTAAATTAATTTACTTTTCAAGTTTTCTTATAAAAATCGATATTACTTTCTCCAAGTACAAATTTAGTACCTACCTAAAATAAGTACTAATTATGTAATATCGTGTAATATTGTAATTCAAATTTCACATTACTATAAAGTTTCAAAATTCCCTACTTCGGTATGGTCAGATAAAAATTGAATATATTATATTAATAAAAACTGTCAAAGTATTACTTCTACAAATCTGTATTTCAATTAATAAGAATACATCTAAATATAACCAATATTGTTAAAATAAAAGCACAAATTCTTTATAATTCCAAAATACCATAGAGTTTCCGGACCTCAGTCGAAGCATTCGTTTATCTAGGTATAAACCCTTTGCGCGAAGAGTAACACTTGCCAGAGACACGGGGTACCACTTGATTTGCATCCACGAGCGTGACACAATTCTTTAACAATTGAAGCCCTTGGTGTAAAAAGGATCCAAGACACAATTTGTCGTGAAGTGACTGTTTTAGGTCAAAACATTTGTTAACGAGGATTTTACTAGCCACATACAAATTATTTTACCTCTAATCCGAAAGATGTGCTATTTTTCGTAATATTTATATTTAAATAATGTTTCTAATTATATTTGACAGATTTAAAACAAATTAAAAATTTAATTTCCCAAAACTTACTTAATATGGCATGTAACCAACCTTATTACGCCAAGGTTTTCAATTTTTTCAATAATAAAAAAATTGTTTAATCCGGGCCCGACTTTTCCCTCGAATCTAACAGAGATAGCACCATTCCGTCTTGCTTGGTTCTCGACCGCCAGATCAAAGACGCCGACACGGAGTTGTGGAGCTGTATATTGTATAAGTTGTGGTAGAATTTGTATGACTTCTTGGACTTGGAAACTGATCGCATTAAAAATAACACTGTAATATATTTTTCCCCTGTTTCTCATCTTTAAAAAAAAAAGTTTAATTCTTGGGAAGTATATTTTTTTTTAAATATAATTTTTGTAGAAACTAAATCGATTGTTAAGAGCAAAAATGTCCTAAGTTTTATAGTAATGCACTTAACCATATCTAGAATATTTCCAATTGTGCCACACTTAAGTTTTAAACATCTACGAACCTACAGTTGATGTAAAGTCCACAAGTAAGCGACCAGAATTGGCTGCTTTAGTTATTTTGTCTTTAATCAGAAGCGTGCACGGTCTTAAAAATTATCTCAAAGCGTTTGTTAAACTTGTTTTTTTAGGTGTTTCTGTTAAATTTTTATTTGTGTTATAATTTACAATTTTAAGACGTTCACATTTTTCTAAAGACTTTCGGATTTCACCAGAATATTGGCGAGGTCAAGATATAGAAACCTAGATATAAAAAGAATCATAAAATACTCTTTTTGTCTTACTAACCAACTTACTATTTATTTTATTTTTCTTTTGGTTTTTATTTATTTCTTTTTTATTTATTATTTTAGTGCTACACAAGAACCTCCACCAATAAAAGATGATACAGGAAAGCTGTAATACTCAAAAGAAAATTATTTTAGGATATAATTCCGCTACAATTTTTACATAGTTTATATTTTTGATACGTATGTAGAAACATATATACTTATAAGTACGCAACCAGTCAAATAATATATAATTGTAATTTCAATTAAATCCTATTGTATATAAATAAATAAACACACATGTAATCATATTTAATTTTTTTTGCGACTGCCTATGTAATACACAAACACTATTGTTGCACAGTAATTTTAAAAATACCCAGCTAAATAAATAGTACTGAATCTGGTAATTATGGGCAGTAATGGAATTATTGTATTTGTAAGAAGAATTCCTTTCATCATCCAAAACGGTGTTAATCAAATGTTTGATATACAATACGACAAGATTGAGATGACAAGTCAGAATTAGATGCAAAATACATAAATTTGGCAACACTGCACAAGTTAACACAAAATATATTACTGAAAGAATAGCATCCCAATCTCAATTTTATCCTACTGTACATAATTATTAGCTCAATGACAAATGACAGCATTTTTCCCACATTTTATTACTGCCTGTTATTTTCAAATTCACTCATAGTTCATGTAAGTTAATTTAATAATAATTATTGTCAATAGCTAATACATTAAATTATTTTAATATCGGAATCTGATACTAATTAAATTTTTGTTACTTCTGAAGGTTTTTTACATTTTTATTTTCATAGACATTATAATTTTTTAGTATTTTTAAAAAGTTATGAGTTGCAATTAATCAACAATTATGATTTAAAGAATTTATGGATAGTCCAGGCATTAAAAATAATTCCCACAACATTTAATTTTTCAGAAATAGGAAGACTTCAATATCTTCTAAACAAAAAGCACAAATCTTTTCATAAACTTTTGTTGCAAGTGTTTGGGACAGAAGAATGTTAAGATAAAATTTAAAAAATGCAAACTTTCAACTCGAGTTATTTAGGATTTAGTTTCATATTGATGCATTTTCAATTATACAAGTTTTTGTAAATTTTTTAGGTAATATTTAACTATTGATTATTAATATCCATCATATTTTTGAAAATATCGAACAATTTTTAAAAGAATTAGTTTTGTCCACACCAATAACATTATTGATATTAATTTTGTCTTTTTTTAATTAGAATAATTCATTGAAAAAATATAAAACTGACAGAAAATATTTTTTATTGTATTCAATTCACCTTTCGCATTATTCGAAAATTTCGCATTACTCATGCGCGAAAAAAGCGCGGGACTTACGAATCTAGTAATTTTCCAAACACTTTTTGTTATCTCTCTCTCATCCTTGCCTTGCAACTGTTGAGTTGGCTACTACGATTACCCCATGTCGTCGTTTCTATATAGTAGGGAGCAGAGATAACAGAGATATAAGAAGTCATTCATAAAATATAATATTCATGGTGCCAAGAACAGTTCGCATTCAAAACATTCTATTACTAGACGCGGGGCGAGGCGACGAAAGGTGAGAAGTAAAAGAAGGGATACAGTGAATAATTTTACATAGGTTTATCAATGAATTACTGCCCGAGCTTTTACTACTTAACGTAACTTTTCTTGCCGGTGTAAGCCCTGTTGCCACTTCCAATCTAACATCACTAGGTTTTGGAATTTGTTGAAAATTATTACATCCAATTTAATGAAATTACATCTAATTTGGTTAAAAATGCCTATTTTTTGTTCTAATGCTCAATTAAGTCTTTGTAGGAAGTATTTTTTTATAATTATTTAAAAAAAATCATTTACATTAGTCCTTATGATCGAAAAAAAATTTAAATGTCTCAGTTTCAACCGTCTACAAATTTGTATAAAAAATCTTCTTTTAGAAATATACCTCTCATTTGACGAAAAACGAAGGCCTAAATGAAAAAAAACTATTCTTTATAAAAGTTTCGCCTATGTATTGACAAGGTAAAAGTACTTTCCTCATATTTGTTGCTTTTAAATTAACAAAAATATAGCAATAAACCATTAGTAATGTCATGGTTTTATTAAAGGCAGAGCCTATCGACTCTTTATGCATCTATCTCAGTATTGAAATGTATGCAATCAGTTTGACCCCTCTTATATTATTTTATACAGGGATTATTGATTTATCCACCATGTTTAATAGGGTGTACTAATTACTTCAAGATTTCTTTTTTATTTTTAATGTAAAATGAAAATAAGAAAATATGAACTATTTATTAAAGGTATTTATTGAAGTATCAATTATAAACAGTAAGGCTATTGCTTTGCAAAATAAATAAATAAATTATAATAATAATAATAATAATTGGAAGGAAGTATATAAAGCATATATTAATAATATTAAAATTTATAATTACAAGACTTTCAAACTAATCAGAATCAGATTCACCACACGAATTAACATTGTCCAAAACATTAGCGGCTGTGGTCAAACTATTTCTGCAGTTTTTCTGTGCCATACAGGTGCAGGAACCGATACAGTAAATATTTTTTTTCCTGCATTTGCAAATTTTGCTTCCACACTCTAGAACAGAATATTATTGTTAGAATATTGTATAGTATGTTTTTTGCATTTGCATGATGTAAGTTCTGTTATGTCTGGTGGCAGGTCGGGCAGAGTCTTAAAAGTGGGTATCAGACTTCCATCTTGATCTACTTTCCATCCATACTCTTCAACATTAGGAAGCTGCATCTGGGTTTAAAGAGGTTAGCCAAATATTTAGCTGGTAAAAACATCTTAAACAATGTAGTCTTAGGGCGTCTTCAGTCGGTGGTAATTTAGCGATGGTTTTTGAAGAGGTCAATAATCCCGTCAAAATGTTAATGAAAGTAACATTGGCAGTTTTGAATAAGTTTTTAGGAAAATTCTTTCAAGATTAGAGAATATGTTTTCAGAGTACTGATCACTGCCAAATCCATCCAAAACGTAATGGTTTTCAAGGTAGGTTTTCCAACAGGTTTTGTTCCCAATGCCGGACAATTAAATGGTTGTATCACAACCGGTCAGAATGAAAAGCAGGCATATTTTTTAGAAGGTTTTCATCCAAATTTAAATAATGTACTGCTAGAAATCGTCTTGAGTCTCCTCGCCTTGTTCTGAACCATATATCTTTAGTCAAAAACTTCTTAAAATAAATTAATAAGACATCTGTATCGTTGCAATAAATAATGCAGCGTGAATGCACCGAATTTTTGGCTGACAATATGTGCAATGAGATACGATTATTAGCGTCTTCGTGATTTGAATTTAAAAAAATCGTCTTTTGATGGTTCAAAATTCTTTCCATATTTATTGATTTTCGCGAATCCACCACTAGTTAGAAATTGAATATGCTTTTGCTGAATGGAGTTTTGAAGAAGTTGCTCTGGCAGAAAATGTGTTAAACGTCTTTTGTTAAATATCTAATGAATAAACAAGTTCTATTGTTGCGGAAGTGGAATATTGGGTCGGTCAATTTCTATATCAATTTATTTCTGAAATCCTCTCTTTTGACGTGTTGTATTTTTGATAGAATGTCCTTTATAATGATCAAATACCACATCTATAATTTGAACATTAAATTTATTTCTAAAAATAATGTTTACAAATATATGAGCATATTCTTTAAATGATATGCAACTTTTGGGCTTTCCTATTTTGATATAATTTTTGTCTCTGCTACGTGCAGCAACAAATCCGTAATTAAAATTTTAAACCTAAAAACTTATAACTTACCCAAATATATTTAGCTGCAACAGGATGAATGTAGATGAAATAAAGATGCAAAAATGTCTATATTTTTTCCCAATTTATTAGGTAATTTAATATATAACACATACACTTATTAATTCTTTAGTAAAAACAGATAACAATATGACACATTGCCCTATGGAACATAACAAGAAGTTTTATAATAAAAAAAATGAAAAATCCTACCATATCAATAATGTGATACATCAGCCCGCACGTAGAGAGAAACAGAGCTATGCTACGTTTGAAGGTGAAGAGAAAAATACACTGAGAGTCGATAAATTTGACGGTGAGAATTAATTACAGCATAAACCTATGACATCTCTCATCGTTTATTGTTATATCTTTGTTAATTCAAAAGCAAAAAATATAGTGTTTACTCTGTTTTTTTTTTCATTTAGGCCTTTGTTTTTTGTTAAATGAGTGGTATATTTAAAAAAGACGACTTTTTAACTAAATTTTTGAAGGGCTAAAACCAAGATATTTACGTTTATATTTTTTTTCGGCCGTAAGTGCTAATGCAAATGATTTTTTTTAAATAAGTATAAACAATTACTCCCTACAAAGATTTTATTGTGTATTTGACCAAAAAATTAGTATTTTTTTCTCTATTCGGTGGTATCAATATCTGGATTTTTGATGATAGTGCCCTTCTGCACAGTCTAATTTTGTATTAACTCCGGAAAAAGGGTTACCTTATCATGACCTTTCATCTGTGAAAAATTCAGCTATGTGACAAAAGAGTGGGAGGTGAATCGTTTTCTTGAGCGAATATTTTAATACATACACTTTACTAACAATGACAACAGCGGATATTATACCCACAATATATTGTGATTATACCCTACTGTGTCCCTTAGAATATGTCTTATTCACGGCCGCACGATATTTGTTAATAGTTACATCTCCTGGTTATCTCTGGTAGGGAGTCAGTGAAACAATTTTGATATACATTTGTTCAATGATAAATTATTCTTGCCCCATACAAGAACTTTGCTGTAATGGATCTAGAGCTAACTATTTCATGTAATATTACCTATAACACATCTAAAAGTATCACTGACTCATCTACCAATATTATCAAATATCAGACGCAAGAACAAAATGACATTTGTGATTGTGTAATTGGAACTTAGGGTAGAAACATAATAAAAATACATTTTAGCGGAAATAGATTTCGCGCATGAGTAATAGAGATGATCAATAACGGAAAAGGTATATTACAATGACATATATAGTTTAAATAGACTGCTTATCCATACGTAAATAAAACGATGAAAAGTGGGTCGAACTGGTAGATGTTTTCTCTTTGTCTAGTGCATGCAATGTTTGTGTTTTGTCTTAATTTTGAGTGCTCACTGGTAAACAAACCTTTCACAGGGCCGGTTTTAAAGAAAGTTTAGTCTAGTTGAGATTTTGTTCTCATTGTCATTACTCAGTCGGACATTTTGTTGAATTTTTTATTTTATTTAGTTTTAATTATACTTATGTTCTGTTTTAAGTTTTTTAATTATTTGAGTATAAAAACTTGTTTTGTTTTTAAATTTAAATGGTAAATTGCTCTATAAAGGTTTGTAAGACCAGCTACAGAAATATAAAAAGTAACATTTCATTTTTCACGCAAGTATCAATACAAGTAGGTACAAGGTAAATACGTTTATAATAATTTTACGAATTATAATTATAATAATAATATTAATAATAATAATAAAGTATTTATTGTAAATACAATTACATAAATACTATTATATTCAAAGGCCCGATTAAGAGCTATCTGAGCTTTACAAGTACATTTTAAAAGTTAGTTAGATACAGAGAAGTATCGTATAATAAAAACTCAATATAAATAGAAGAAAAACGGACATAAGTACCAATACAGAGAGACAAACAATTTTATTCTTTGATAGGTTCTTTCTATGTGAATTCTAGCTCTGGCAATTTTGGCATTAAGTAAAGCCTCTTGATGGCTGAAATGATTTTTTTTATTGAAGAAAGCAGGCTGTATAATTTGTATACCTTCAGCTTCTGTTATGTTTCCAATAAGAAAACCTTTGTTAAACATTTTACTATCGAGAAATGATTCACACACTTCAAGTATTGAACTTTGTTAAAAAATGTCTATTTCTGAAGTTTACCACCATATGCTTCACTTTTGTAAGTAATGAGACCAGTAGGTGACACTCCAGTCAATATTTTAATAGTATGCCTCTTTCTGTAGTCAGAGTAATTTTTTAGCCTACAACAAAGACATTTGGCTTGCTGTATTGGGATTTCGGTACAATCAAGTAGTAGTACTCTTACTTACATAGAGGCACATTATTTAATATTTCTTGTTTTGAAGGCCGAATTATACCATACTAAGAACTTCTACCAGTTTTATTAAAAACTGTTAAAAAATTTAACGATAAAAAGTTTCATTCACTCCAAATAAAATGAATAAGACATTATATCTTGCATATCAGTTTTCAACTTCATAAAAGTAAATATAACTTGATCCTTTACAGACATAACTGATCTCCTTTTTCCTATTCTTTAGAAACAACTCTGCTACTAATTCCACAATGGTGGCTAATAACTGGAAGGATTGCAATCCTATTAAAGTAGATAGTTCTTTAGCACTAACAGTTCTGTTTGAAAACGGATCAACTAAATCACCACTCTTCACTTGTGTTGAACAATCGATCCCAATTTTCTGCTTTTAAACAAAGTTTTGTAAATCAAGCAAAGCTATTCAGCAGCACACAAATCTTCATTATCTGCTTCAGTAGTAGATATATGTTCATTAACTGCAAAAACACATTAAACATAATAATAATAATAATAATAATTAACCAAATATTTTAAATTATGCATACGTGCATCCATTGCCTGAAGAAGATAACTCAACACTTAACATTCTACTAGTACTAGCAATATATCATTATTAAAGACAGTAGCCATAATTCTTGTTTTAGCTGGATTACTTTTCTTTTTATTAATAGTCGCTTTCTTTTTACCACTAATCTGAGCTAACTTACATCGACTAAGCTTAGTTGTACGTTCTTTTTGTGATTGTAAGTCAGAATCTTTATTTCCCTCTTACCGATGCTAAGGTACACGGATCTTGACGTCAACTTAGATTGCACTTTGTACCTAGTCCATTTTACTATGATGTTGATCAGATTTCCACTGGTGGAATTTTATTATTATTCATCAAATCATTCACATTCACCGCCAAAATAATCCTTAATTGTCTAAAGGGACAAACTTTAGAATGTGAAAAAGCTACTAACTTTAAATCTTTAAAAAGTTCATTCAATTTTTGCATAATATCTGCTTTTATAATGCGAAATAAATTTTAAAAGAATAATCAAGTGACCGAATAGTGCCACTATACAGTAGTCATGGTCTAAAGTTAGTTATATACACATGAGTGTAAAATTGTTTATATCTATGTTCAAAATTGGTTAGATCTCTTAAAATGTTTTGAAAATTGGGAAACTAGACGTTACGACTCAAAATCCTTTTTTAAAATACCTAACGCAAGCTTCTGTCTTCAAATAAACATACAGATATATTTTTTTTTAAATTCAATTCCTACTTTGATGAAATATGTGTTTTAAACTCATTTGGGCCAGACCGATTCTGCCTGGTGAGCACTCGGCAAGCCAAGCAATATGACCCGCTTTTCGTCGTCTCGTTTATATATGAATGAGCAGTCTATTAATCTATATATGTCATTGGTATATTATTTATAATTTAATGTATTAGCACACAGCAAAACCTGACTTATATTACCTACGACATGTATCTGACAAATAGACTTATTTTCCAGGAGTATGTTGAACTGCGTTAACACTTTCGATCAACACCTACCAGTGACCGAACAGGCCGGATTGGTAGTAGCAGAGGAAAAAACGCAACACGACTCATGTAAGGGTTAATACAGTAAAGTGTATCAGAGCTGTATGAATAATTTAAAATTTCGGAATGTTTATTAATGTGCTCTGAATGTTGTAATTGCATTTCTGTAGATTTTCGAAATATATGATGAAGAATCAGCATATTGAGATCATTCTTTTTAAAGCCAGATTTTGTCGCGTTTTTAGTTTTAACTTATATTGCAACTCATTAAAAGTTTTTCTTACACTTGTACCAGTTTATTTTGGAGATAGTGACGAAACAAAGGCTCCAATATCAACTTTAAACAACTTTGATACTATCTATCTTTAACAGCTAGTAAAATTTGAAAATTTTGTTTGCAGGATAATGTTTCTACACTTTTTATAAATATTTTCTGAAATTTTGAAGTTTATAAATTTATTAGTGACGAAACAAAAATTATAGTTTTTATTTTGATATACTTATTAGGTAAAAATACTCGAAAATGTTTTGCATATCATCCAAAATGGCAAAGAATGAATGAATAATGCAAAACGTTATCGATTGTGGGATTCAAAAGCATGATGCAAGTGAATGTTATAATATATATCTTAGAAGACTGAAAAGTTAATATTTAATGAGCTTAATTTTATGATATTAAGCCGTGTATTAAACAATATTATTGCATCATAATCTTAATTTTCAGCAATGCCATATAAGATCATAAATATTCAAAAACATAAATTTTGATTGCATGTCTAATAATAATATTTATATAATTATTTCAGCAAAATAAAAATGGGTGTTGGCCACTTGGTCGCCGCGGTTAGTTTTGTCAGCGGGGTTCCGTAACCTCATCGACCACTTGGTCTCCAGTTTTAAAATCAGGTAGGCCTCTTGGTCGCCGTAGTTATCAATCATTAAAGGTATCTATTTCGATTTATTGAAAATAATATTTTTAAGAAAAAAATAGTTTAACTGATTTTTATTATTTTCCACGTGAATAGAAATTTTTAACTGATATGATATGGTACAGAATGTGGGTCAGGAAAAGAATAAAACCAAATTAAAAAAACACTTATAATTAATAGAAAACAATATAAAATTATACATAATAAAAAAAAGTAGGTACAAAATACCAAATAAAAATTATTTAAGAAACCCAAATTGCAATTAGTTTTTGTAATGATAAGAAACTACTTTGATAAATTGAGTTCGTGAAAGGATCTTATTTTTATATTGTTCTATTACGTTCGTTAAATACGCATGCCGTTTTTTGTAATTAGCGTTTTTAATTTTGTTAGGTATATGTGTACTGTTTAATTTCACATAAGTATTTAACTGAATATCGAGAATTACATTAACAAATTTGAATATATCGGGATGCGCCGAATAAAAAGCAGAATTAAAATGTTTGTAGAAAGACTCACAAGCATTTGTTGTGCGTTCTGTGGAACTTGTGCACGATGCCCACATTGTAGGCGGGAAGTCAGACGTATCGCTAGTATACGTATTAATCATATAAAGAGTATATGAAGTTAATCTCTCGTCAAATGGCATTATTGGAATTAAATCTTTACAAAAACACTCTGCCACTTCAGTACTTTCCAAAAATAAAATGCCGAAAGTGTAATGAAGCCATTTGCCGATTTCAGAATTTTCATTTTTATATTCGGAAATCAAACCCAGATTTTGTATCTTACGTAACCACGATTGGGTTAAATGAAATCTACATCCAATAATTAAGATATCAGGCCAAATCTGTATAATACCAGTGTGTATGGCTTTCTCAAAATCGCAAATAACTTTACACAGCTTCCAATCTAAATTTAAATTATTATAACAGTAATCTTTTAATAATTTAAATGCAGTTGCATAGGTACTTGCTCTTTTATCTGGTAAAACAAAAAATGCCAATGGTATGTAGTGTCCGTTATCAACAGCATGTACAGTGAAAAATTGTAAAAAAAATTTAGGGCAATAATTAAATGTGCCGTCGCAATAAATACTATCACGAGAACACAAGTATTTTAAATTTGAATCACATGAAAATAAAATAATTTGTGAATCTTCATTGTTAAATAATAAAAATTGTTCACCCTTATTTGTAACACATTGTATTGCTTTCAGTACACTATGAACATCACTGATACACTTTGGCAAAGGTGGCAATATACTTCTTCGTGCCCTGTATATGCTTCGTCTGATGAGGTCAACATCCGTAGTGGATACATTAAAAGTATTTCCTTCCCCTCGGATTCCGTTATTAATTAACTTACTGTTGCCTTTCTTTTCAATCCGTTTTGAAGTTTTTTTTACATCTAAATGGTCCGATGGTGGATGATTGTGTTCACTCTTAGATTTCAATAAGACAGTTTCCGAATCGTCCACTCCAATAGTCGCTTTACACCCACGACGAGTACACTTATATGATACACCTAACTTTGTTTCCTTGTCTTTTCCAAATGTATATTTTTTTACAATTAACAACTTTTTTCCTTTTACACTTAACATGGACTCCATTGCAACACAAACTCAAAACTTCTTTTATGGAATAATGAATAAGATGAGAATCACTTTTAAAATAAAAAAATTAATCTTTTCAGTAAGAATGCAGACAATTAACTGATGAAAAATATTTTTATTTTAGTTCTCGACAGGTCACAAACCGATATTATAATTAGAGTAATTAAATAACCCCATAATTTTCTTGGAACCCTTAATCCAGGTTTGGAGACCAAGTGGCCTATACCTTTCGAATAGCGAAAGGATTAAATTTGGGTAAAACTGACCGCGGCGACCAAGAGGTATATTCCCATAAAAATAGTTGTATAACTTATTTTTAGTCTTCTAAGAAATAATATACAGCTCCAAGAAATTATCGCTTCACCTTAATTTCGCAATAATTTTTCTTTGATTTTTTCGTTTAGGTATTTATTTTATTTTTAGATTTGTGGTTTTCAAGGAAATAAACATCTTATTTTTAGTTTGAAATCTACCCGAGATGCATTAATTTCTAACACTTTGAGAGCTTGAAATAAAAATAAATATTCTCTGTAAAATTTTAATTTTCTACGTTCTAGAAAAATGTAATAAAAACTTTGCATAAAGACAATATTAAACTAAAAGAAAAAATAATCTGATAGGTCTGCTGTCTTTTAGTTAGAAACCGTTTCCAATTGCTACTGAATCAGACTTAAATATTTATTTTTATTTAAAGCAACTCACTTATTTAATAATTTAAAATTTTTAAGATTTTATGTTTTCTTACTTACCGATCATAATTTCTTAGCCAAATCACCATGTTATGTCTAAAACTCAAGTATTTTAGATTCGCAAATAATTTATTCCCACCATCAGGTTTTTAAACTTCTTTATTATTTTAATAGTTCCAAATCCATTCGAGAGACCAATGTTCCAAACAACATATAACTTTAGAAGACATTCAGCATACGCCACTGTACCAGGTATACAAACTTAACCAATCAATTGTACAACCAGGCACATTAAACACTGTATATACAAGGTGCACCCCAAAGTAACCAAAATTACAATATTAATATAGTCATTTTAGGAAAATTTTTAAACTAGTTTATTTTTTCTAAAATGATTACATTATAACCTATAAACCTGCACCAATGCTCCACAATTTAGCACTTCGCTAACAATTCAAACACTACCTAATTTAACTATTAAATAAAATTTTGATAAATACCCTCAAATATATTTTTTTCGAATTCCATCGATTTAGAAAACCTAATTTCGATAGTAATTTTTTACAATTAGATTTCCTTTTTGAGTAAGTTAAGAGATTTAAGGTAAGATGCATGGTTTTACCATTAGTTTGAACATAAAAAAAGAGGTTAGGTATAGAATATTATACACTGAGCATCATAAGTCTTATATTAACACCCCATTCTCAACATAACATAACATCATAAGTCTAACCCCCCTATTTAACTCGTTACTGAAGCCTTGTTAGAAAAATCGCCGAGTTTTGATTTCTACAATGTACATTTTTGTATGAATATTTTACCCTTAATTTCATCCCTTACTGGAGAGGAGCAAGCCTTTCGAAAAATTTATATGACATGGGGTGGTGAGTGATAGCTCATTTGAAACTGGGTTTTATCCTCTATTCAACCGTGCAAAAAATATTGAAATTTGCTTCAATAATTCTCGACTAATTATTGTTTCCTTAGAATTAAAATTCGGCCCTGCATAATATCAGTTTTGGTTCAGTCGTGAAGTAAGACTTTTTGTCACTAGATAAGGTCACTGTTAGTTTGGTTGCTTTCCTATTTGTGATGTTTTGTTATTTTTAAACATTAATAAATCAACACGTAATGAAGCAAATTTCAAAATTTTTTGCACAGTTGAATAGAGAATGAACCCCCCTTTCAAATGAGCTATCATTCACCACCCCATGTCATTTAAATTTTTCGAAAAGGTTGCTTCCCTCCAGTAAGGGATAAAATTAAGGGTAAACTATTCATGCGAAAATGTACATTGTAGAAATCAAAAATACAATAGAACTTTTTCTAGAAAATAATTTCCAAGTAGCTTATATCAGATGAACAAGTTGTATTTCTCAAAAAAGTTAGTTTCAGTCTGTCTAAGAAGATTTGATACAGCTGGATATTATTTATGTTTTAATATATGCCTGCACTAAATTCTTATTCCCTTCTTAACATATTTTATCTTCAGTTATTTTATAAAATAACTACCACAAATAAGTCAAATAATACCCTCACCCTAATTCAATAGTTAAAAATATATTGATTGAACAGTTTGTTCTGAAAAAAAAATTATGATTGAACAGTTTGTTCTGAATGTTCCCTTTTTTCTCACGTCAAACATTAGCACGGACACATAGCAAAGCTGTTTCTGAACAAATTAACATTAATCATAATCATTTAACTGTAAAGTATAGAGGTTATGCTAAAAACTTTGCCAACTTATGTGAAGTTTACGAAGGCGTAGAAGGGCCACATAATATAATTTTTTTTATTTCGACTTTAAAATCGAAATTCCAACTTTAATCTCGAAATTTCGACTTTAATCTCGAAATTTCGACTTTATTCTCGAAATTTCGACTTTAATCTCGAAATTTCGACTTTAATCTCGAAATTTCGACTTTATTCTCGAAATTTCGACTTTATTCTCGAAATTTCGACTTTAATCTCGAAATTTCGACTTTAAACTCGAAATTTCGACTTTATTCTCGAAATTTCGACTTTATTCTCGAAATTTCGACTTTAATCTCGAAATTTCGACTTTAATATCTAAGGGTAAGTTCGGTTTGGAACTCGACGGATCGGACAGAGCGCGCACGGAGTGCGTGACGTCATCAACAGAGTTCGCTCTTTTTACAATCTCAAGACGAACACAACGGGAATGACAAATGACACTCTAGTGATAGTTTGCACTTGAATACACTTTTGTGTGTGGAATGGACTGTAAAAAATTAATTTTAGTCAAATAGGAAATAGTTATAACAAAAACAAACAAGTAATAATACGTATAAACTGATTAAATCATAGATTAGAATATTGACGTTTGACATTTTTGACACATTCCTACAGATACCCGTTGATCTCCACCGGCCAACTCTGAGAAGAGTGAAGGCGCTCTGAGTACGTGATCTGTGGCAAGCCGAACACAAAAGAGAACGCTCTGAGTGCCAAAACGACCACAATTGAGGCATACCGAGTGCACTCCGAGTACAGCGAACGCCAAACCGAACTCAGCCTAAATTTCGACTTATTTAGAGATTAAAGTCGAAATTTCGAGATTAAAGTCGAAATTTCGAGATTAAAGTCGAAATTTCGAGATTAAAGTCGAAATTTCGAGATTAAAGTCGAAATTTCGAGAAAAAAGTCGAAATTTTGAGAATAAAGTCAAAATTTCGAGTTTAAAGTCGAAATTTCGAGAAAAAAGTCGAAATTTCGAGAATAAAGTCGAAATTTCGAGAAAAAAGTCGAAATTTCGAGAATACAGTCGAAATTTCGAGTTTAAAGTCGAAATTTCGAGATTAAAGTCGAAATTTCGAGATTCAAGTCGAAATTTCGAGATTAAAGTCGAAATTTCGAGATTAAAGTCGAAATTTCGAGTTTGAAGTCGGAATTTCGACTTTAAAGTCGAAATATTTTTTTTTTACTATGTGGCCCTTCTACGCCTTCGTAGAAGTTAGCTTCTGCCTGTCAAAAAATATTTGATACAGCTGAATATTATACAGTGTGGAAACCACTTATGGAATAAAATTCTTTGTCATTATTTTAGAAAATTATAAAAAATGCCGAGACATGTCAACTTTTGAATTGAGTTGTGCGTTATGTAAACATAAATTTAAATGTACAGGGTGATTCACGCAAGTATGCCATAGTCGGTGTTGTTTTTTTTTAATGAAACACCCTGTATATTTGCATACATACATTATTCAGTTTGTTGGAATCGGTTCATTAAGAGGATTTCAAAAATATGCAAATATACGGGGTGTTTCATTAAAAAAAACAACACCGACTATGGCATACTTGCGTGAATCACCCTGTACATTTAAATTTATGTTTACATAACGCACAACTCAATTCAAAAGTTGACGTGTCTCGGCATTTTTTACAATTTTCTAAAATAATGACATAAAGAATTTTATTCCATAAGTGGTTTCCACACTGTATGTGTCTTAATGTATGCCTGGACCTAATTTTCAGTCCTTTCTTAACAAATTTTATCTTCAGTTTTATGACAGAAAACTATTATTTCCTATAACTACTAATAATAAGTCAAATAATACCTTTAAATATGTTAGTCAATCTAGCGCATTGGTAAATATTAATGATTCAACAATTTGTTCTGAATGCTTCCTTTGTTTCTCACGTCAAACATTAGCACGGACACGTAGCAAAGCTGTTTCTGAACGAATCAACAGTGACCATAATCATTTAACTGTAAAGGTTATGCCAAAATTTGTGTAAACTAACACTCGTGTACATTATTTGTGTCTTAATGTATGCCTGGACTAAATTCTCAGTCCCTTACTAACATTTTTAATACAAAAAAACTATATTTAACCTCTTTGACAATTATTATTTCCTAAAACTAATTACTACTATTTTGACATGTTTTAACTCTTCCTACAGCAGGTTCCGAACACTCGTCTCGAGCCGGTGAGAATACAGGTAGCCGCCCCCCTCCTCCACTGCCGCCCCCGAGGTTTCCCAACAGTGCCGTTTGACAATGGGACAGTTTCAACATCGCCACCACCTTTAGTCTGCCGATGACGCCCCTTATAGTTCTCGAAGATCACTTGGTGGAGATAATAGCGCAAAGAAGCAGAGCATGCGCTGCCTTCCTCCGTCACAGCTTCAAGAGGCCCCACCGACGCTAGCGCCATCACTGCCCGAGTGACAAAATTGTGTGACGTGTTCGGTCCATAAATGTATATTATGCAAAACTTCGCGTATTATGGCTCGGAAATGATAGACTTATCCCAGTAACTTAAATGATCAACAGATTATTGAACCTGACTTATGTTTGAATCCGATGCATTTTTGTTAACTATAAGGTGACGAATAACCTGTTGAAGATTTGTCAATTAAATTTAAATATAAGAAATTACCTTTTTAGTTTTTATATTATAAATTATGGATTTGATTTGGTTTTATACCAGAGTTACAGGGATTGGTCCACGTTCTATAACTAAAGTGCGCAAAAAAACACTTATGACTTTATCTTTCAAGATTTAAAGATGGCCTTAAAATGCTCAGTTATCCGATTAAACATGAAGTGAATTGCCGCCAGTGCCGTCAAAAGTTTCTTGCAGACTATTTTCTAAAAAAAAAGGTGGCCCGAAGATTATGCTTACTTCAGCCGAGAGAGAATTATTTTATAACTAGATTCTAAATATTAATATTAAGTAGTAAAAACTTTGAGGACTAAAACCAATTAACTTTTCGTTCATCCCTTTTCTCTCGACTGGAAACTTTTGAAGCAATTTAAAAACTGCCCCCTCCCCTAAAGTACGATACACTCACTTCTACTCATTAGAAGAATATTGCACATAATTTTGATGATATGATTGAATATACAGCTTTTACTAAAGGCATGCACCTACAACATTTTTCTTTATTTTTGTAGATTTTGTAGTTTTTCTTGAGATGTTTAAGTAGTTTTTTTTATCTACTTTTTTTTATAAAGATAATCTGCATGTAAGTTTACTCAGAAGAAAAGAAGCTGATCTTTCTGTACACCTAATCAATAATTCTAGAAAGAAATTAGTTATTTTCTTTCATTTACAATGAAATGTTTGGAAGGAAGGTGTTTTCGTACAAGACCAAACTTCTATTGCCTTTCTTTTGCATTAGAAAATTATTATTACAATGAAATAGAGTAAGAAACTCTTGAATTATTTTGAATCTTATATATTTACATTATTCAAGAATCAAAAATATTCATATAAACAATACATAGTAAAGGAGAGTTAAAACCTAATTTTAAAATTAAAAATAATAGGTTAGTTGTAGGTGCATGTATGGAATGGTAATATTAAAATACGTCGTTTCAAAAATATTGTGCCGTGATCGTGTAAATATTTTTTAAAAGCACGCTCTCGCAATACTACACGCAAGTTCATTGTTTAAAACATTTTTAAACAATGTTAATATATTATAAGTAATTGCCAAATCAGTTTTGAAGAAAATAGTTGTTTATAACATACAGTTTTTTAATGATAAAGTTTCACAAATCAAAATATTTTCTTTACGAAAGAATTATTCAATAAGAATAAAGAAAATTCCAAAAAACGTGATACCAATTTTGAATTTTTCTTATTGAATGTAATAATTATGAATATATTTTTAAATTAAAGTTAAAAACTTTTAGTTTACAGAAATTTTAATTTTAATAAAATTTTGATGTAGAAATGTATAATTTTATTCAACAAAAACAAAATAAGTAAAATAACAATATTCCCAACAAACATTTGGGTCTGAGAAAATAATGAATTAATTACGGTCTGCCTTCAATTATAATGATGACTTAACTTTTACCTACAAAGGGTTGACATTTACAGATCACTACGGCTTATAGTTGAGCCACAGTTATTTTGACATCAATAACAGTTTCAGGGCTTTTTACATTCCAGAGTCAATTTGCCATCTTGCAATTAAAGATCCCTTTAATATTTTAACTGTTAAAAATTTGATGACATACAGGCTTTTTTTAATATTTCAGTTGTTTCAATTCCTGATTATTTCAATGATGATTACAATTTAATAAATTATTGAAACATTGGAAATTAAAACATGTTTTCCTTTAATTAGTTCTGCATTTCATAACAAACTTAAAATTCAAGGGTTTTGAGATGCTTATCAATTTTAAATTATTATTATCCCGGTAGTTTATTGTTTGTTGTGATCATTTAAAAAATAGACATTTTTTTAATCTACTACTTTGGACTCTATTACTTGCAACCAAAACTTTTCATTAGAGATAATAGTAATGTTCTCTCATTTATTTTCTTTCTAATAACATTGCAGCCTATTGACTTATTAGTACTCAAAACTGACTTGACAATATACTTCATATTTGTTCGTATGTCGTGGTTTATATTCTAAATTGTCGCACTGCCAACCCGAGCATTCGTGCGAGCAAATATGAAACAAAATTACTTAAAAAAATGTAAAATCGACTTTATTATTACATTTTGTATAAAAAGCATATGTGATTTTTACGTTTATATATATATATATGAACAATGAGAATGGGTTATTTTGAACAAAAAACCATTTTCTATGATCGATGTGATGGTTTAAGAAAATAAGTAATTTTTTTTTAATCTAATATCAGTTCTGTATTATAAAAAAAATATTGTAGAAAGTAATTATATTTTTCAAGTTTATGTTTAGTGCCTAATACATTTCCTAATATTTAGCCAAACTTTAAATATTCGATACTGAATTTCATGTAAAAATTTTAAATATTAAAAGCTATTCTTCTTTAGTTGATCCCAATTTCAATGGGAAGAAATATAAAGGTCCTAAAAATCCATTTGGTGGTTAGAGGTAAAACTTTGGTTTTATTACTTACTAACTGAAGATTTTAATTGAGGAGATGAGTTATTGTAAAATGAGTAAAAAATAATGAATTTATTAGGTAAAAATTAACGCAAAAAAAAGATGAGCAAACTTTTGATCAAGACTTGCAGCATAGTTTTATTTAAAATGATTCTAAATTTTATAAATCATATGGCAAATCTATTAAACTTAAAATATATTTATTTTAATTTAAATCAAACATTGTTTTGTCCAACCTTTGATTAATAAATAATGGAAAATGGTTTATTGAAGAAAAATCAAATCATTCCAATTTTAGGGATTGTGTAATTAGGAAATGATCGAATAGATTTTTCTGTTTTTGTTTTAAAAATTTTGTGACTGGTGAATAGGTGCTCAATTTTTAAATAGTGCGGCCACCGTTTTATTATTCAATATAAGATTTCTAATATATATCAGGACTGTAATATGCAATATAATATGTAAGATTTTTCACTATAACAATGTTAATTATTTTTAATTTTTAAAATGAAATACAGAGATTGTAGTAGAGAAATCATCTCAAGCAAATATCTTTTTTTTTAGTAAGATTATCTCAAAAGTTTACTCATTAGTTTAGTAAAATTCTTCTACTAATATATTTAAATTAAATGCAAATCTAGTATAATACAAATGCAGAACGATTTTTTTTTTAAGTGTAAACTTATTTTTAAATCCCTAAATTTTGTACCAGAACTATTGGGACCATCAAGATATTGTAAAGAAGAGAAGAGGAATGGTAAAGTCTAATCAAAATGGCGACTATTTAAAGTCAATAATTTTATATTTCATTGATTTGATTATTTAAAAAATAAACTTTTTTTTAATCTACTACTTTAAACTCAAAAATAATTAACTGTGAACTTCAACTAACTTGCAGAATTAGCCAAAAACTTTTATTAGAGATAATCCTAATGTTTTTATATCATTTAAATGAAGCTATTTAAGAGGTTACTTTTTAATAGCAATGATTGGGCCATACATTAGATTCATAGGGACAAAAAGATATGGCGACGAAAAAGAAATTAATTCTTTAACACGGTGTCCGATTTCAATTATTCTTTTTTTGTTAGAAAGGGGGTAAATTTGGTCAAAGCAAAAAATATTAATTGTTTATTACTGAAAGATGGTAGGAAACGAATAGAGCGATTATAAAAATATTAATGGGCATGAAAATGTTTCTAATTCATTACATAATAATTTTTTCAGGTCACTTACTTTCTAGCAAGTAACAGAAAACCATCTTATCTTAGAAATGCAGGCTAAAATATTCCGGGGAAATATGAAAAAGTGTTTATATGAACATGTGTCTCAAAATGCATAAATGGTTTAGAAATGTAAGTAGTTTTTTTAATGACTAGCTAAATTTCCAAACTGGTATAGATTTTACCCCTAAATATGCTGGTGTTGTCAAACAACTAATAGTTTAATCAAAAGTGGCAGTTTTTGTAAGGGTTTGAGTTATTTTTAACCGACTACAAAAAAGGCGGAGGTTCTCAATTCGTCGTAATATTTTTTTTATGTATGTATGTATCTATGTATGTATGTATGTATGTTCAGCGATAATTCTTTAACAAGATGTCCAATTTCAATGATTCTTTTTTGTTAGAAAGGGGGTAAATTTGGTCAAATCCACAAACTGTTTATGTATGTTTAGCGATAATGCTTTACCACCTTATCCGATTCATATGATTCTTTTTTTGTTAGTAAAGGAACACCTCAAGGGTGGTCCCATATAAATTTCGTTAAGATGTGGTGATGTCATCTGCACGTTTTTAGAGTCTGTTTTTTTAAATTTTTAATTTCTAATACTTGTTATCAATAACTTTCTAGAAAACCTGAATATATTTACTTTCAATTTTATACAAAAACTGTTGTTATAAATTGAGTGGAGCAACGATTTTCGAGAAAATTAGATATACAGAAGTGAAATAAACTAATATTTTTTGTATTCAAAGAAAAAATTTAATAAAAAGAGACAAAAATAATTTGTTATTTTAAGTTTAGTGCCCTATCTTTTCATATAAACATTTTATCATATTTTAATGAGTACTACAATAATTTACCCTTTATCAATAACACCCTGTAGATCCAAATGTAATTTATAAATCACACATAAAAGTATAATTTGAATTCTGTTTGTAATAGGTTTTGGTACAGAAAGAATTTTACTAAACTGCTTATTGGTAAACCTTGGAATGCAATTTTAAATATTTAATGATGAAGATAGAGATTTATTAAAAATTATAATTTCTTTAAATTTAAAATGTTTCATCTTTCTTGAAAACTTAAAATCAAGCAAAACGCAACATTTTATAAGAAATCGCCACACATATTTATTATACTCTCCCGATTACAATCGCTGTGTTTTATCTGTTACAAAAAAACCTTCCACTATGATATAAAATAAAAATGTAATTTTTCGCTAATTTTCACAGTTCTGATGCCGGAAGTGATGTCAGAGAAAAATGGAAGTTCCCACCGCGAGAGACATCCTAATGGACTCTTTAAATAGTGTTAACAAATAAATCAAACGAACTATTAAATAAATCGAAAAATAAATTAAAACGCGAATATAGGAAATTTTTAAATATTTTGCTTTGAAGTTCGTAATATTCACAAATGGACAAGATTTGCAAAGTTATGGTAACGTTTTATATAATATAGTTGCAAATAATTTTTTTTAGTTTGTTGAGTTTAAATATGTATATGACTGACTCATGAATATCGGTTTATAGTAGACAAAGGTGCATACGTTAAAATCAACTTTAAACAATTATAATTAAATTATTTTAGAAAATGAATTTAATTTAATAGGACATAATTAGTGCTTCCATACATTTTTAAAAATAAAAAGTATTAGAAATATTTTCTTCCAGAAATACAGTAGACCGTGACAAGAGATCAATATTGTGGCCCGCGCCTAGCATTTTTGACGCCCTTGTGCAAATATAAAATATTATTTTTTCTAAACACTATTCGTCCCTCCCTACCTCACCACGTATTTATCGTTTTAAACTTAATATATTAATAAAAACATACTTAATTATTGTTAAAAAACGATTTTAACTTGTGCTCCTTCTGTTCTATTTATTTTCGTTAAGCAGAGTCTTTGTAAATATAAAATTTAAGAATTCACTGCCATAAAGCTCATCAAATTAAACGTGAAAAAATTAAATTAAAAGTGTAAGATGCGACTATAGCGGGTTGCGGATATGTATGATAATATTTGAGAGTATTCTTTAATTTTTAATCAAAAAATAATTAATCCTAGGTTATATAATACCTAATCTAGAGGGAGCATGAAGGGAGTTTATAGACCAGCATTTCTCAACTTGTTGGGCGCCCCCCCCCCCCCCTCCCTAGGGGGCGTTATAACTCTACATGGGGGGCGCCATCATTTCAAAATGTAAAAAAAAAACGATAATTACTAGTAAAAAAATTTAATTCATAGAAAGAAAGCGAAGAAATATTTTTTTAAACTTTTGTGACTAAATTTTTACATAAATAACTTTCACTCCCTTGGATGTTTTGTTTGCAAATATTTCTAGTTTTTTTTAATTTTAAAAGTTTTTACTCAGTAACTAACTGTTTTTTTATTGATCTAAGGTGTGAGAATTTAGTATGGTTTCTGTTTATAATAAATAGTTTAATTTTAGAAAGTAAAAGAATATTCTCAAATAAAAAATGACTTATCGTAAAAGGATTGTCATG